TATATTATTAATTATTAATTATTTTTTTAAATAAAAAATTTAGTTGAGTTTAAATTACAGTAAAAAGTATAATTAAAACTGATAATCAATAAAAATAACTTACCATCTATTATATTATTAATTATTAATTATTTTTTTAAATAAAAATTATTTAGTTTAGTTGAATTTAAATTTTATTATAATAAAAGTATAATTAATTAATTAAAATAATTGACTTTCTGTAATATTATTAATATATTAGAATTTTTGATTATATTATAGTAAATATTATAGTTAATTTTATTAATGAATATAACTTACGTTCTACAATTTTTAAATAAAAATTTAGTGGGTATAAATTATTATAAAATTATAATTAAATATAATATGCTTCATAAAAATAACTTACTAACTAAAAATATCATTAAAATATTTTAAAATAAATTAGTTATGTTTAAATTGTTATATAAAATATTATAGAAAACTTACTCCCTATAGTATAGATATTGTTTAATTAAAAGGTTTAATTTAATTATATATAAGTTAATACATATAAAAAAATAAATAGCTTACAAGCTATAATATTAATATAAAATAATAAATTAAATTAATAATGAATTTTTAGCAAATACATAAATAATTTCTTTTTGCTATTACCATTTAAGTCTTTGCTGAATATTTGATATTTTATTAATTAGAAAAGAATTATTAAATTTAATCCTTAATATCAACTAACTTTATACTCAACTTATTAATTACTTCAATGGCATTTAACGTCCATGTATCGTTTGGTTTGATTTCTAGTAATTTGTTTAAATCTGCAAGTGATTCGTCATATTTTTCCATTATACAAAAAGTTTCTCCTCGATATCTTAAAGCAAATGTATTATTTGCCTCAAACTCTAGCAATTTTATCAAATTTGAAAGTGCTAGTTCATATTCGCTTATAACAAAATAAAACTTTCCTCGGTATTTTAGTATGTGTTTAGCATCTGATGTTTGTTTTAAATCTGCAAATCTAATAATCTGTTGACTTATTAATTTATCATTATATGGATTAAACATTTCAGCCCAATTCTCCTTTAAAGATTCATCAATATCATCATCATTCATCACTAAAAAATAATTATTATTAATACAGAAAATAAAGAAAAAAATAAACTAAATAAGTATACCTGTGTATTTGAACTTTTTATAGCCAAAGTTTGCTCCGATAGATCCACCTGGTGACAACATTCCAACACAAGGATACAAGGCATTTCTCAAATATTTTCGGAATGCAATTCCTTAAAATATACAATAGATATTTAATCTTTATTATTTAACCTAAAACAACAAAGAATTTGTAATATACCTAGATTCATTCCGTTTCTTGTATAAAATACTGTATTATTTCTAAAGTTTAAACAACATCCGATAGTATCACCGGTCATAAATTTTGGTCCATATGGTTTGCTATCGTTAAAATACGTGTTTCCATCATCACCATGATAGCCCCATGAGCTATCTTCCCAGCCTACAATATATATAATTCAATAAATAATATTTAACAAACTAAGCTGATAAAAAGAATAGTAAAATCACCTGGCATTTTATTTAGGCTAGCTGATTTTGTGCAAAACCCGATTCCAATCTCCCTATGCAATTTGAAAAATTGAATTTAAATAATCAACTTAAATGATTCCAAAGTTTATAACACACCCATTTTCCCCTTTATCTATAATGTCAACTTCAAAATAAAATAATCCACATTGTTTAGGAATCGGAAAATCTGCTCGAATTGCAGCACAGTTTCCATCTCCACCCAGACCTTTATATTTGAAAATAATTGTAGTCATGCAAGAAAAGTGATTCCATACGAAAACAGTAAAATTATAATTGTTATACAACATGAAATGTAATAAACTCACCTGTATAAGTCACTATAAGTTTGTCAGAATTAAATTTTAAAAGATTACATCCATCATTAATATCCCATGCTGTTGGTGACCCTATTAGAAATGATAATAGAGTTTGTTTAATGTATGCTTTTAAAAGTTAATTAATTATTTTTATTTTTATTTTTATTTTATTTTTTTTTTTTTAAAAAAAAAAAAAATACTAAATTATAATATTAGAATTTGACTTAAAAACGAATAAATGTTTATGAAGGAGCATCAGAATTCAACTGGCTCTATCTTGAAAAATTCGAAATTAATTAACTGATATGATCATAATCTAGTATAAATGTTTGTTCTTGTCTTGAACCGCCGCTTAGGACCGCTTAACCTCCTACTTCATACCTTTTATTTCTTTTATATGTTTGGTGAAAATATTTTTTATTTTTTTCATTACACTTTTATCTTTATTGTTATTATAAGACATTGTTATAAATTATAAGAAAAAAAGGCACTAATATACGAGATTACACTAGAAAAAAAATATTTTGAATGTAATGTGCGACATTGAAAATCTTATGTAATTAATTATGTAATTATAACGTGTCACACAGTCGTGATTTTTGTGAACCGTTAAAGCTTACGACATAATACCATAAATCTCTTGATATAAAAAGAACATTTTAAACAAATGTCTTCAGAAATACCTATTAAAGTTCAAGGCAAGAATAGATATTATATAGAAAGTCATTAGTCATGATGGAAAATATGCTGATGCAGGTATACAATATAAGCGAGGTCAATCCTAATCAAGTCCTAATTCACAAAGAAACGATGATCTACCTTTGTACTCGTAAATATTAATGCAAAATATTTTTCTTTTTTTCTTTTTATTCCTTTTTAGCAATGTTCATTTTTCACTTATCTCTTTTTTCTTAACATTATATAACCCATTTAAAAAAAATTTAATTTCAAAATAAAAAATAAAATTGCTTATCACTTTCATTCTTTTTTTCCATAAAACAAAAATAATGTAAAACAAAATTCGATTCGTCGTTGACGAGCAGATAAATTAACAACAACAGTACTTATTACTTCCATTTCTTATCTCCACCAACTTCACTAACTATCGATGAGAAATTAAAGTAGCCAAAAGGCTTAATACTTTCCAAAAAATAATCGAGTGGATGAATTGTGAAGCGTTATTTTTTAAAATTATTTCTTGATTAGATTAATGCAAGATGCGTTAATAGTTTTATTCTTCACGCCAGGTAGAATAAAAGATAGCTTGTTGGTATTGTTTTAAAAAAATTACAAACTTGTCTTCATTTCTTTTTCGATGGATTGAATTTTTCATCTGCTGATTAGATAACTAGAGAGGATAATGGGTTTTAAATCATTTTTAGCACCACGAAAAAATCTTGCAGAATATTTGGATCAGTATTTATAACCTCAATATACTTTCATCATTTCAAAATTGACGAAACCAGAATTATTGGCACCTGATTCTAAATCATGGGCGCAAGGAACTCCAAGACCTCAAAATGAAATATTTTATTTCGCAAATGTATCGTAATTGATTATGTACAGTATGCAAACGTAGAGATGGATTCAAAGATTCAAAATGGACAGAAGGCCAAGAAGATACTGTATTTTCAGCATTTTTTTCGTTTCCTTACTGGCTTATATTATATACTTTATGTCAATAAAACTTATTTAATTTACAAATACCTTGATCGTTAACCGAAAAAGCTGCTATCATTTCCTTCAACAAGCTTATATTTAGGATGAGACCACCATACTGTAATTTTCTCTTCTAAGATTTCTAAGTAGGGACAGTGAAATTATCTCAAAAGGAATATGATTTATCAAATGGCTTGTTTAAAGCATTCAGAAACTTCGTGAAAATTATGTATATCGTCCCGCATTAGGAAGAAACATAATGATAATCGTTGTTGAGCACTTTAGAAGCTTCTTCTACACCAAAATCAACTGCATCCAATTCAACAAGAAAATCATGCAATTATCTCCGATGACAAATAATCTTAACTGAGAATGCATGTACTATTGAGAATTTTATTAAGATATGACAAATCATCAAAACTAAACTTATGGTTTTTATATACGATACGAAGGATTTATCGGGGTTATCGCGGCGAAACAACCAAATATCTGATGTAATTTACTGTTGTTTTTAAATATATATACTGTTATTGTATATACATGTAGCTATCTAGATTTTAATTGAAATAAACTACACATTCAGGCGTAGTAAATGTATAAGTTTATATTTATATTTTATATAAAGGACGTTTTCTTCACTTAAAAAAATGGGTTTAAAACAATAAAGATATTTCAATATAATTAAAGATTGATAAAATGAAATCTAGCAGAACCAAATTAAAAATAAAACTTTTATTTTCTAAATTTTTTTTTAAATTCAACCCTTTAATGACCAGAGATTTTATATTTTTATATATCGAAAATTATTATAACAATTACCATAATTTAGTAACTATCAAAAACGTAATATGATTGATTGTTTCGTTTGGTTTCGGAAAAACTAAGCAAGTGTATCGAACACCAACCATGATTTTTTAAACAATATTCAGCTAATAAAATAAATAAATTGAATTTTGCAATGGAATGACCTTCAAATAATGATGCTATTTAAAGAACGATAATTATGCCGGAGCGTAAGTGGTTTGAACCTTTTGATTAATGTTAATGAATGATCTTTCGTCATGTAGTAAACTTCAAGGAAAAAGCTACTTAGCATAATTTTTTAAATCGAAAAAATGTAATTAATGAAAATGCTGAATATATTCGTATGGCTGATCAATATATCGAGGTATCTAGTGGTTATAGTAATAATAATTATGCTAATGTTTCATTAATTGTTGATATCGCCGAACGTACTAGTGTTCATGCTGTTTGGGCTGGCTGGTAAGCATTCTTCTAAAAAAAAAAAAAAAAAATATTAATAATTATAGCGTGTATGTATTAATTTTTTTTTAAGCTAATGAAATATGATTTGATCTTTCTCATCTATAGGACATGCATCCGAGAACCTGAATCATTAGCGCAGAGTAAACATAAGATAGTTTTCATTGGTCCTCCCAATTCAGCGATGCATTCGTTAGGTGATAAAATATCATCTACGATCGTTGCTCAATCTGCAAATGTTCCTACGATGGATTGGAGTTATAGGTGTCACTCAAACTGAATTTGATGAACAAGGTCATGTTATAGTTTCCGAAAGTGTTTACCGAAGAGAGGACGTTGATGCTGGGTTAAACAAAGCAAATATCATTGGATTTACCAAGCTTCGGAGGGTGGAGAAGGAAAGGGAATTAGAAAAGTGGAAAATCCAGATAATTTTAAGCAAGAATTTGCTCAAGTTCAAGGTGAGGTTCCTGGTTCACCGATTTTCATCATGCGGCTTGCTCGAGATGCTCGTCATCACGAAGTTCAATTTTATTGGATCAATACGGGAAACGCGATCTCCTTATTTGGAAGAGATTTTTCGGTACAAAGGCGTCATCAAAAGATCATTGAAGAGGCTCCGTTACGATTGCAAAACAAGAGACATTTGAATCGATGGAAAGGTCTGCTGTCAGATTAGTTGGTTATGTTAGTGCGGGAACCGTTGAAAATCTTTACAGTCATGAGAAAGATTTTTTTTTTGTTTTCTTGAATTATATCCGAGATTACAGGTTGAACATCCTACGACAGAAATGGTTACAGGTGTGAATTTACCTGCTGTTCAATTACAAATCGCTATGCTTCATCAAATTCGTGATATTAGAATTCTTTATGGGTTAGCCCAAGTGAAACTTCCGAGATCGTTTTGATTTTCGGATACCGAGTCTTTTCAAACTCAAAGGAGACCTGTACCAAGAGGTCGTGTAGTATAACAGCGGAAAATCCTGACGCAGGATTCAAACCAAGTAGTGGTATGGTGCATGAACTTAATTTCGCAGCAGCACTAATGTTTGGGATATTTCTCGGTTAATTCTGCCGGTGGCCTTCATGAATTTGATGATTCTCGATTTGGTCACATTTTCGCTTATGGTGAGAATCGTCAATAATCTCGAAAGAATATGATAGTCGTGCTTCAATGAATTGTCGGTTCGTGGAGACTTTAGAACCGCAGTTGAATATTTAGTCAAATTGCTTGAAACCCAAGCTTTCGAAGAAAATAGTTTTACAACGGGATTGTTGGACATGTTAATATATGATGAAAATCTAACGGCCGAAAAGCCTGATAAAATGTTGGCTGTTATATGCGGTGCAGTGACCAAAGCTTATACAGCAGCCATGGAATCCATAATGGAATATAAAGTTTCTTGGAGAAAGGACAAATCCCTGGCAGAGATATATTGCGCACCGTCTTTATCATCGATTTCATTTATGAAATCGTCCATTATAAATTTACCGCTACTAGATCAGCTCCAGATTCTTTCACGCTTTACTTGAATGGATCAAGGGTTCAAGTTTTTCTTACCGATGGTGGGGTTATTAGGTTTGTTAGACGGAAAAAGCCATACTTGTTATTTTCGCGATGATGTTCAAGAATAATATTGATGATTAATAGTAAAACTTGTTTACTTGAACAAGAAAATGATCCAACACAACTTCTTTTACTCTCCTGGAAAGCTTGTGAGATTTTGTGGAGTCTGACGATCATGTAAAAAGAGGTGATGCTTACGCTGAAATTGAAAGTAGGTTTTACAATTTTTATCGATTCACAAAAGAATCATTTTAATTTATTTTTAAATTATTTATTTTAACATTGATATTATTTAGGTGATAAACATGTACATGCCGCTTATCGCAACAGAAGATGGCATTATTCAATTTATAAAACAACAAAACTAATCCGGTGTCATTATTGGAATTCTCATTCTTGATGACCCTAGTCGAGTTCGTCACGTGTTACCTTTTGCACTTCCTGCAATGAATCCGCCCGTTTTAGTTTGTGATAAAGCTCATCAGAGATTTTGTGAGGTCAAGCATATCTTTGGATGTATATTGGATGGTTATGATATTCAAGCAATGTTACAGAGTAGCGTCAAAGAAATAATCGAACTTTTAGAATATTCCGATCTTCCTTATTTAGAATCTCATGCAGTACTTTCAGCACTCTCCGGAAGAATCCCGGCCAAACTTGAGACAGCTTTATTGAGAATTTCTAATGAGACGCATATCCTGATTTTGTTCTCGAATTCGGACAAACGCGAAGAAGCTGTTCATGCTTTACGTGACGAATACAAGAATGACCTGAGGTCGTCTCTATTGTTTTGTCACATTACAAAGTTGAGGCGAAGAATAATCTGATATTACATCTTTTAGATCAGATTAGGCCCGCAAATGTTAGACAAGCTCTTATTCACCGTTTTTGAAAAATTGGCGGAACTTGGAGGGCGTTTCACAACCAAAGTTACATTGAAGGCGCGTGAATTGTTGATTCATTGTCATTTAACTTCTTATGAAGAAAGGTATGCTCAAATGGAACAAATAATGAAGGCTGCAGTTATAGAGAGTCATTATGGAGATTATGGTTATGACTACCGAACCCCAAGTTATGATTCTCTCAAAGAATTAATTGATACGCGATTTGTTGTTTTCGATGTTCTTCCGAATTTCTTTTATCATCAAGATAGTTGGGTTGGGCTTGCTGCATTAGAAGTTTACGCCTGACGCGACTTATCGTGCCTATCAACTTATAAACGTTGAATACTACACAGATCAAGCCCCATTTATGGTCTCTTGGAACTTCTCACTTCATAGTGCTACGACTGATAGTCCAACTGGTTCGGTCGAAAGCCCCTCGTCTTTTAGTATGAGACGTTCAGCTTCTATATCAGATTTAAGTTATTTGATTCCGAAAATCGAGAATGAGCCACTTCGTGTTGGCGCCATGATTTCCTGCACTTTGAATGAAGAAATAGAAAAAAATATACCACGAATTTTAAAACTTTTTCCAAAAATACAAACTGTCCAAGGATGAAATCTCAGAATCCATCAGATAGAAACATTATATATAATGTTGTGTACATCGCTTTAAGGCTGGAAGGAAGCTGTTAAAGGATTTATTGATCGGCACGGCAAAAGATTATGGAGGTTACGTGCGACCGCAGCCGAAGTTCGTTTCAAAGTTGTAGATCTTACATTAGGAACAAGTTATCTTTACGTGTCATCATTAATAATGTCTCCGGGTATGTTGTTAAAGTAGAAACTTATCACGAGGAGAAGACAGAACTTGAAAGCTGGATTCTTAAATCAATTGGTCGACAGGGTTCAATGCATTTGCAACCAACCCACACACCTTACCCAACAAAAGAATGGCTTCAACCAAAGCGTTATAAGGCTCATTTAATGGGTACCACCTACGCTTACGATTTTCCCGAATTATTTCGCCAAGATATTAGAATACTATGGAATTGTGCATCTCTTCATAGTTCAAACCTTAAATGTACTAGTGATGTTTTGGAAGCCAAAGAACTTGTGCTTGACCAGAATAATAATTTACAAGAAGTAGAGAGAGCTTCGGGAACGAATTCATTTGGTATGGTTGCATGGAACTTTACTCTTTTTACCCCGAATATCCAAAAGTAGAAAGTTTATCGTGATTGCAAAAGATATCACATATCACATTGGATTTTTGGTCCTTTTTTCTACAAAGCAACCGAATTGGCAAAATCATTGGGAATACCTAGAGTATGTCAGCAAATTCTGGTGCAAGGATTGGATTGGCGGAAGAAGTTATGAATCATTTTAACGTTGCATGGATTGATAAAGGAAATCCAAGCAAAGGTATCAAATATCTTTATATTGATTCGGAAACATATAAGCAATTACATCAAAACGGAAAGAAATCCGTTATCGCGGAATAAATTGTTGAGGAAGGAGAAACACGACATAAATTCACCGACATTATTGGATCAAAAGATGGGCTTGGTGTTGAATGTTTGAAGGGTTCGGGATTAATCGCTGGGATTACATCGCGAGCATATGAGGACATTTTTGCAATAACGTTAGTTACTTGTCATTCAGTTGGTATGTATTCATTGCAATCTAATTTTTTAAAAAAAATTTCTTTAACCTTCTTATTATTTTTATTAAGGTTGGGACAGCGTACAATTCAAAATGAGGGTCAACCCATAATATTAACCGGAGCACCAGCATTGTATTGAGAAGAGAAGTTTATACAGGAAATCTACAACTTGGAGGCACGCAAATTATGGAGTTCACATCTGACTGCACAAAATGATTTGGAGGGTATTACAAAGATTATGCAATGGCTTTCTTACGTTCCAGCCGTTTGAAATTTTCCTGTACAATATTTATGAATTCAGATAATTGGGACAGGGATGTTAGTTATATGCCTCCCAAAGGGCCTTACGATCCAAGATGGTTGATTGCGGGCAAATATGAGATTGAAAGAGATCCCAACAGTTGGGTTAGTTGATTCTTTGATAAAGGTTCCTCCTTTGTTGAAAATTTAAGTGGATGGGTGAGGACCGTTGTAGTTGGACGAGCACGTCTTTGTGGAATCCCAATGGGTGTTATAGCAGTTGAAACTCGTACTGTTGAAAGTATAGTTCCAGCTGATCCGGTTAATGCAAATTCTCATCAGCAGCTGATGATGGAAGCCGGACAAGTTTGGTATCCCAATTCAGCCTATAAGACTGCTCAAGCGATTAATGATTTTAACAAAGGCGAACAATTGCCCTTAATGATATTTACTAATTGGCGTGGATTTTCAGGACATGTTTCAAGAGATTCTAAAATATGGATCTTATATCGTGGATGCACTTACCAACTACAAGCAGCCTTGTTCCTAATGGAGAACTTCGTGGTGGTGCTTGGGTTGTAATAGATCCTACCATTAACGATGATATGATGGAAATGTACGCCGATTCAAAATCAAGAGCTGGTGTACTTGAACCCGAAGGAATTGTAGAAATCAAATTCATAAAGCCACAATTGCTCGCAACAATAGAAAGGTTAGATGAAATGTACCGTAATCTTAAGAAACCATTAAATGATCCGACAATATCTGAATCGCAAAAACGAGAACTTAAATTATAGTTGGATGCAAGGGAACAAGAATTATTACCGATATATTCACGAATAGTTGCAGATTTACATGATACACCGGGAATAATGAAATCCAAAGAAACGATAAGAAAATCTTTAGAATGGAAGGAATCTAGAAGATTCTTTTATTGGCGTGTTCGAAGAAGGTTACATGAAGAGTACGTATTTAGAGATTTGATCAAGGCAAATGATAAATTGACTAGAAACGATATGAAACAATACTTAATAAATTGTTTAAAGATAATAATATTGAAAGCGATAATAATGAATTTGATTGGGAAGAATCTGATGAAGAAATTGTGAAATGGTTTGAAAAAACCTTAGATGATGGATGATAGTGATATATATTCGAATGACGATGATGATGATATTACCGTAATACCGAAAATAATGATTAATGAAAGAGTTGAACAAATTAGAATGAAGCTATAGCGCAAAATATTTAGATATGAGTGAGATTAATTCGAAAGCAGTTCTCCAGGGTTTTGAAATATTCTTTGAAACATTAAGCATAGAGGAAAGGAATAATTTATTAAGGAAATTAACAAATGGTGAAGAGAATCATTATAAATGAAAATTTAGAATTCAAACATCTTTTATTAAAGATTAATATTTGTATAAATATATAATGTATTCTTTACATATTAATTAATGATTTTAAATGTATTAATAATAAAAAAATAAAACTTTTCTACATGCTGATTTTCCCTTCAAATTTTTTAAAATCAATTAAAATAACATTATCATAAAAATTGACTTCACGTTAAAGTTTGATCTATATTAAAATTTAATTTAGAAATGCATATAAGAATGAAGTAGTAAATCAAATTGCAAACATTTTTATTATTTCACCCCTCCATTATATCCCCGACACACAAACACTACAATAATCCTCTTCATCCAACTATTGTCTCTCCTTCTTTTATCTATTAAATTATCTTAATTTCTGTTTTTTTTTTTGTAAATTTTTTTCAAATTTTCAAAAAAAAAAAAACCTGAACAAAGCTTGCCACCTCTACATGATGTTTAGGATCAACAGTTATAGATTAAATTATATCTGGCCAAAAGCAAGCATATATTGTAATAAACTTTAAAAAAAGAAATCAACCTTAAATAGAAATATCAACTACAGTCGAAATCACAGCTGAAAACTTGGGTCGAACTGGCGGTTCCAACTATATGAGTTACATGCACTAAAACTGTGATTGTTAATCTTAAATATCATATATATATATAATTAAATTAACTTTCATATCAGTTACTTTTAACATCAATTTAACTACAACAATATCATTTTATTTTAACTATACTGAAAAAAATTATACTATAAATTAGACTATTTCCTTGGATTTATTATTTTCTTTTTCTTTGAAATGATTAAAAGTCAAGAAAAATACACTTACTTTTACAAATATGGGTCATTCTAAAAAATTAACATATGGACCAATAAAAAAATTAGATCGTGTTAAAAAAAAAAGTAAAAAAAATTATTAATATAACCTTACCTTTTTAGATTCCAAAATCCTTTAATTTTTTAAGTTCCTGTAGAAAAAAAATTTTTTTAAAAAAAAATAAAAAAGCCAATCAAATGCTTATTTTTTGTAACTATTCAAATTATTTCAATGCTTCTATTTGATTTATTTTTTCTGATACTATAGAAAGATTAAAACCAAGAGATCACAAGCAACTGTTAACTACCTTAAATATGCCCAAATATTTTAACTGGTTAGTTATAATTTTCCTTTGCATTTATAGATTAGTATTTGAGGTTGCAGGATCTGAAATTGCAAATAATCTTAAATAATTCATTGTTTAATAATATAAATAATAAATAGCTAAATTTTATATATTAAATAATAGAATTTTAATATTATTTTTATTATTATTGTCTTTTAAAATTAATTTAAAATAATTAACTTAATATATAATCTTATTTCTTAAGCTGTAAAGCAGACAAATTTGCTTATGAAATTAATAAAAAAATGTATTAATTTCTTTATTAAATGTTAAATATAAATTTTTAGTGATATTATTATTATATAAAAAATATAGTTTAAAAATATAGTTTAATAAATATTTTATTAACTTTATTAGTAAATATCTTAAGTTTTTTAAAAAAGTTTTTAAAAATAATTTAATTTTAAAATTAAAGATTTTTAAAAATTGTATTGCTTTATTATTTATTAATAAAGTCATAAAATTTCATAATAAATTATAAAAATTATAAAAATAAAGTTTTTTTTTATATGTAATTTATAATATTATGATTAATATATAGCTAAAAGTAAATTTTAAAAAGATTATCATAAATAAAACATAAATTTTTTAATTTAAAAATGTTTTTTAAATTACAAATTTTTAGTTTATAAGTAACCTTAAAATTTTTATTATGTAACTAAAGATAAAACTTATTATATATACAGTATTACATATTTATAAAATTAATTTAAAAAAATTTAAAAAATTTTTAATTATTTATTAAAATAAATCAAAAAAAAAATTTATAGTAAATAATAAGCAAATTTCCATAATTTTAGAAATATATTTATTATATTTAATAATTTTTTGATAATTAATAACTTATATAAAATCAAATCTTTATATATTATAAAATTAATATTTATATATAACATTAAAATTAGATATAATTTAAATCAAAATAGTCAATAATATTATTAAACCAAAAATAAAAATTTATTAATTATAGTTTCATTATTTTTTTAATCATCTAGATTCCAAATTATATTAAATTTTTATAATAAAATAAATATACTTTTAATAATATAAAATAATTTAATTTAATTTGTATTATTATTTATTAAAAAGTTAACATAAAAATATTAATAAATAAACTATTTTATTATTTTAAAGTTTATTAATCATTATTTTGAATTTCTTATTATTCTTAAATAAATTTATATATATTTATTTTAAATAATAATCAAACTAAATTTGTATTTTAAATATAATATAATTATATTATTAAAATTATTATAAAAAAATTATTATTTAAATCAAATTTATATTATAAAGTATTATTTTATTTTAACACATATTACATGTATATACTTTATAAAATAATTTTTTACAACTTAATTTTTTTTAATCAAAAAATTTAATTTAGTTTAGTTTATTTAAATACATATATAAATAAAAATATTAGTTTATTATAATTAAAAAATTTAATTAAAATAATAAAATTGAAATTTTGTTTACTAATTCAATAAAAAAAATTAATTATTTAAATTTATTAATAATTATTTTATAATTATTATTTTTTTAAAAATATTTAATTATATAACTTTTTTTATTTAATAATAACATTTCTATAATATATTATATCTTTTCTACTTAAATAAATTCTTATTTTTTTATTTTTTAATATTCTTATTTATATTATTCTAGTAAATTTTATTAATATTTTTAATAAATTTTTTTTATCTTCAAAGTATTTGTAATTATTTTTTATAATTTTATTTACTAATATAAGATTTTAAATATTATTTAAATAACTAATAAAATAAGATTATTATATTTCAATTTAAATTAATATAAATATTTGTAGTAATAAATTTTACAAAAAAAATTTTTATTTATATAATAAATATAATTTCATTAATAAATAAATTCAGAATTTAATTAATATTTTATTAATATTTTTTTTATTGAAAAACTTGTAAAAAAAAAAAAACTCTAAAAGAAGATTTTTTAAGTAAAAAAAATGAAACTCTAAAATAATTTAAAATTTTATTTTACTGTATGAATTAAATATGATTATTTTAGTTAAATAAGTAATATTAAAATTTTTGAGATTAACTATTTATTTGTAATAAATATTTATTAAACATTTATTTTTTAACTCAATAAAGATTAATCAAATTATAAATTTAAGAAATTGAATTTTTAAGCTATATAAGAAATTTAAATAAAATGATATATTTTTATAAGGTTTGTATACATAATTAATGATTTCATATTAAAATTCCATATATTTTATAATGATTTATTTTTTTATAATTAAAATTCACTTTAATAGTAAAGATCTTTGGTAAAAATCAATTTTTTACAATTAATATTTTTTGTTTATTGTTCGCATTTAAATTGTAACCAAATGAAAATCTTGATTTTACATTTTAGAATCGATTCAAATCTGTTATCAAGAATTTTTATGAAAGAAATCAGAATTAATATGTTATTATAAATAATATGCATATATGATATTGAATTTGGTGAAAAACTTTGCTGCAGCAATTATGCGAATAATACATTTGTTAAGTTTTTTGATTTTGTTATATGATTTGCATGATATGTAACGTGTGATTTTTGAAGTTTAATGATTTTATGAAATAAATTTTTTACTCAATATTATAACAAAGTTTAAATAATAGTTTATATCTGTATTGCCTCAAGGACTTCTGAAATCAAAGATTTTTAAAAAATTTTAGAATTAAATCTTTATAAATTTGTGTGTACTTTATGTCAATCCTTCATGATTAATTGAATATAGATAAAAATTATAGATCGAATATAATCAAAATATACTTAATTAAAATCATATTTATAATTTGTATTCTAAAAAAAACATTTTTGATCCAAAATAATCCTAATTCCAAGTGATATATTAGTATGTATAAATACGTAAAATTTTAGAACCTAAAAAAAAACCAAAACACAGAGTAGTGTAGTTATTTCACGTGATAATTAAATCATATAAATTTACATTCTGAGATTTTTGCGTAGCTGGGTATTTTTAAGAAATGTAATATATAAAATTAAATTATTTTGATTTGAATATAATACTTTGAACTAATGTTATATTTTCTATGATTATATTTTTATTTTAAAAGTATCATAAATTGCAGTTCTCTAATATTTATAATTTAAATTTGAAAAGATTATTCGTATGCTAAAGCTCACAGATAAGACTAGTAAAATATAGTTATATAATCTCATCATAATATTTAGATCTGTTGTAATAAAAATAAGTAAATTCTCATATTAGTTTCTTTATTAGAAAATTATATATAATAAAATAGTAGTTGTTAAAAATCAATAAAAAAAGCAGCAATATTGACTGAAACTTGTGAATTTTGAATTTCTTTTTATCAATGCTTGACAAAATCTATAAGATCTGAGCAATTATTTTCCTTATCTGTAAAAACTCAGATACTTTTGCTGTTCTTCTCGCTTGCTTAGTATAATTCAAAAGTGTTACTAGAATACCAATCGTATCTTTATATTGTCTAGACAATGTCTCATCTCTTGTAGTTCTCAAACGATTTCAATGCCTAAAATTAAACGAT